GACGATTCGAACCCTTGTCTTTCTCCATGACCCTATGCTTCCAACTTTTATTATTAGGACAACCTATCGACAAAATGACAGATGAACCAAACCTCGAGCCATTTGAATGTCTCGATATCAGAATTAATTGATTAGCTTCAAACTAAAAACTGGATTCAAATAAATCAAAACAATGCCACTCTATTTCCTATAAATTGTTTTTATTTTTCCCCTTCTCTTCCTTCCCTTCCTCTCCCCCTCCCTCTTTCTATTCCTCCTCACTTCCTTCCTTCTTTGTTCCTTTCCTAAATAATTACTGAGCACATTACTTGGGTCTGGCACCAGAACAGATGTTGGGATCAGTACCAAACATACAGACAGTACTTACTTTCACAAAGTTTACAACCTGATGATGAAGAGAGAAATTATACAAATATTACAAGTGTGATAATTACATATTGAGAACATGTGCAGAGCTTCACCAAATTATATCAAAGGAGGTATCTAAATAGTCTGAGTAGTGAGCAACGTCTCCCTAAGGAACTAGTATTTATGATGAGATTGAAAGAAATCCAGGAGCTAACCAGGGAACGAGGCAGACAGTTGGATTCTTTCAGGATTGGCTTCTACAGGTAGATGTGATCAAAGGAAATGTGGGGTCCAAGAATTTAGGACATAACTAAGGTTTTACAATGATAAACCATGGAATCAAAACTAGTTATAAAGGGAAATAAAAATAGGAGGGGGCTTATTGAAAGAAAGAAAGCTTACCAGCGAAGAGAATGGAGGCCCAGTGAGGTCCAAACAAAAGTGTAGTGGAAATCCTTGAGCATGTAAGATAGATGAGAAGAGGCTGTGGAGCCCCCAAATGACTATCAGCAGATGACTTGTGAATTTGTGATCTGGAGGAGAAGCTGTTTCAGAAAGTGAGAAGGTCCAGGATATGACCACGGGAGATAGTGGAGCGGAAAAAAAGGGTCATCAGAGACGAGGAAAAGAAGCGACTAGAGGGCAGTGTTGGACAGCTCCTTCATGGGATGATGAGGTCTTCCCAGAGCCATGGAAGAAACTGGAGTAGAGGTGAATGTGCTGAGCCGAGCACTGAAGTTTTCTTGGAGGGGATGGTACAGGGGGTGTTATATGTATATTAGCGTCATTTGATGGATCACGGTTTCTCTCAAAGTGCCAGGGAGTCCCTAAGATCTTTTTGAGAGTGGGTGTGGGGGCCCTATGAGTTCGAAACAATTCCACACTAATACTAAGACATTTGCCCTTCTCACTGTGTTGTATTTGCACTGATGGTGTGGAAGTAATGGTAGGCAGAGCTGCTGTGGCCCGGGTACAAGTCATGGGAGTGCACCAGAATCGCCAGGAAAGAAATTTTTACTTAAGAAAGTCCTTTTCCAAACAGTACATTATTAATTTTATTGGGCCTCTTTGAATGCATGTTATTTAAGTATTCTACATGTCAAAATGTGGAGAATGCAGAGAACTTTTGTGTGCTGAGGTGTGATGGTTGTCTTGTGAAAAAGCAGTCATTTGAGTTGCAAGTGAAAGTCACCACCTTTTCCCTGGAACATTGTTTTTATTCAACAGGATAACTTTCAAATTACAGTTATTCAGGCTTAGATATTTGGCAGACTTTGTCTCACAAATGAACAGAATGCCTATCGCTCCAAGGAAACAAATAACATTATTGTTACCAATGATAAAATTTGAGCTTTCAAGCAAAAACTAAATTTTTGGAAAAACATATTCACTACTATGAGCTTGAAAACATCAGTGGCAATCTTAATAAATTTGACATTTTATATTGTATAGTAGTGTATTAATATTTTTTAAATATGCATAATTAGTGAATAATTATTTTTTTTGAGTTTCTGATGCCTAATGTTACAAAAATCATGTATGGGTATCAGATTCATTCAAAGTGTACATAGAGCACTCTGGCCAAATAGCTCAGTTGGTTGAAGCATCATCCTGTTTTGCCAAATTTGGTCACCAGTCAACCAGTCAGGACACACATAAGAATAAACCAATAAGTGCATAAATGAATGGAACAATAAATCGATGTTTTTCTCTTTCTCCCCCTCTCCCTCTCTCTCTCTCATCTATCTATCTTAAAAATGTACATAGACCGCCCAGCTGGTGTGGCTAAGTGGTTGAGCGTTAAGCCATACATCAAGAGGTTGCCAGTTTGATTCCTGGTCAGGGCACATGCCCAGGTTGTGGGTCTGATCCCCAGTGGGGAGCATGCAGGAGGCAGGCAATTGATGTTCTCTCTCATTGATATCTCTTTCTCTCCCTCTCCCTTCCTCTCTCTCTAAAGTCATTAAAGAAAAAATTATTTACAAATGTACATAGAACAATAGATTTCAATGTAACAGGGCACTAAAATATCCATTGGTATGTGTTCAGATTCCACATTGCAACTAACGTTTAAGAAGTTAGCCCTCGTCAAGTTTTGGTGTAGTAGCAAAGAAACAGCCACAGTTATCTGAAAAGACTATTAAAACACTCTTCAACTCATAACTTTTTCTACTCTATAAATGTACAAGGCTGGATTTTTTTTTCATAGAGTTCAATCAAAGCAACAGAAAGCAACACATTGAATGAAGAAGCAGAAATGAGAATATCGCTGCTTTTTACTAACCAGACATTAAAGATATCTGCAAAAATGTAAAACAATGACACTTTTCTATTAATTATTAGTCTTGGAAATGAATTTTAAATAAATGTATGTTATATATGGTAACATGTAATGGGTTTGTTATTGTAATTTTAAATAGATAAATACAATGTCTTTAATTTTTCTGTTTTGATTTAGAATTTTCTAATTATCAATAGCTCTGGTCCATTTAAGCAAAAGCTCTTTGGAGCCCTTAGTAACATGTTAGAGTGTGAAAGGGTCCTGGGACCCAAGTTTAAAAACTAGTGTTAAAGATAGACACATTCCTGACTATCTATGGCTCCTTGTCTAGGGTTTCAGCCTAGGTGTCATCCTTCATCTTGAGTAGCAGCTCTGGTATAAGTAGCATGAGATTTGAAGCACTTTTTTGCCCTACACTAGGGAGATAGTTGTTGCATTCATCATCACAGAGGCTGCCTGGTTCTCAGGGGCTGTGGCAATTCTGGTGGTGACAGACAGTATTCCTTCTTTGCACAGGGGGCTGGCTGGGCTGTGTGATGCTATGGAAAGAGGCTCAGACTTGGAGCCAGGCAGCATCACGAGCAACAGGACACGGGCTTTGCCATCAAGCCAACTAATTACATTCTACCTCTGTCTCCCTTGGGCTATGACTTCAGGGATGACTTAGCTTTTAGGAATCTCCACTGCCTTATATGAAAAATAGGGCTGATAATATTTACCTCCTAGGATCATTAGAGAAATTACATGAGATAACCCAGGTAATGTTCTAACCAGTAATAATAAAAGCCAACCTTTAATAAACACTTCATAAGCATTTTAATGTGCTTTCAATAACCCTGTTAGGTAATATTTTTAACATAGTTCAACAGATGGGAGAGCTGTAGCTCAGAGAAGTTCAATAACTTGTTCAAGTTTTCAAAGTTCGTAGTTGGCTAAGACTCAAACTCAGTCTTCTCACTCGGACCCCATGTTCTTAACCACTGGTGGCTTTATGCTACTCTGACTCTTCAAAAACCGTTAGCCCTCCTCAGTTCTCATCTCTCTAAATATAGGATTCATACAGAATTAAAAGCGAGATTTTATATAAACCTTCTAGCGTCATACCAGCATGCAACAGGAGCACGATAAAATTGTCATTCTTCATTTCTCAAAAGTGTCATTAACCGGAAGAAAATGTGTACAGCTTTTTCCTTTGCTTAAACTTTGCATCTGGAAACTGATGCAGGACATAAAAAGAGTTCTGGAGATGGATGGTGGTGACGGAGGCAGAGCAATGCGAATGTACGTGACGGCGCTGAACTGTACAGCTAAAGACAGCTAAGAAAATCCACTTTTATATTATGTGTATTTTACCACAATAAAAGAAATTGGGAAAAGAAGGAAGGGCAATAGGCCATAGATCTTTTGTTTTAAAAACAGCACATGTGATTCCTAAGAAGGAAGGTAAAGTAACATCGTTCCAGTGTTGGAAGTACCCTTCGAGCCAAGCCTTCCCAGTAAGGAGAGCTGAGCTTCGTGGACATTCCCCCTCCCTGCTCTGTGTCCACCCCCACCTCCAGATAACTTGAAGGCTAAGGGAATGTCTTGTGATGTTGCCTTGAGTTCTGCAGCAGTGGGTACCCGGATGCCCAAATCAACAGGCGGACTTTGCAACTTAGAAAATTCAGGCTATGTTCAACCATAAAAGGAAAAGGACATCCTGCCATTTGCGACAACATGGATGAACCTGGAGGACATTATGTTAAGTGAAAAAAGCCAGACAGAGAAAAGAACATTGCATCACTTCCCTTATAGGTGGAATCGAAAAATGTTGAGCTCGTGGAGCCAGAGAGCAGGTGATAGTACATGGTTACAGAGGCTGAGGCGGGGGCAACATGGGAGAGATTGGTCAAAGAGTACAAACTTTTGGTTATAGGATGAATAAATTCTGGGAATGCAATGAACAACGCAATGACGACAGTTAATAATACTGCATTGCACACTTACTTAAAATTTGCTAAAAGAGTAGATATTAAGTGTTCTCCCCTCTCCCCCCTAAAAGGTAACTGTGAGGTGATAGATGTGTTAATTAGCTTCATTGTGGTAATTATCTCACTACATAAAAATATAATCAAACCATTATACTGCATATCTAAATATATATCATTTTTGTCAATTATACCTGAATAAAACTGGGAAAAAATCAGCATCTGTTTTCATATTATTAAGATGCCTTCATATTAAAAGAACTTTTTGAATTTTAATAACAAAAATAAAAATGATCATCATAAAACTCTTATTTATTTATTTATATTGTTGAAAGTATTACAGATGTCGCCCTTTTTCATAATAAAACATTTTAAACTGAGGCAGGGGTCTGTCTTCTCTCTAGGAGAGCGAGTCGGGCTGCTGAGACGTTCATCCCCAGAGCAGCTGACTGCCGGCTGGGCAGCTGGTCGGAGTGGACAGGGTGTGCTCCATGCCAGGACAGACAGGTAAGGCATTGACCACCAGTTTGGGGCACTTCATATTTGAATTGCGTGCTAGGCATTCAAATGGGCATAAGCAGCTAGGTCTATAAATCTGAAGGCCTGGGGAGAGATTGGGTCTAGAAATAGGTACTTGGAAGCCATGGACATGTGGATGGTAGAACTTTTTTTTTTGCTCCTCCTGAATTTGTTTAGAAGGCGTTATTGGGTGAAGCTGCAAAAGATGTGTATATTATGGCTTATACCAAAAAAAGATTCTTATTTGGACAGGGGCACACTGATACCTGATGGCCTCTCTGGGTCCTGGCCAATGTACTGCCTTCTAATGAGGATCATCTGGAGGGGCTAATGGCTTAGTAACAAAATGCCTAGTTGCCTGTGGCCTATGGGGCCTGAGATAAACCAAAGCATGCCACAGAGGGGGTTCCTGAGGGTTCTACTTTCATAGCTTGAAAAGGCTGACACACCCCATGAACAGCTGTGTGTCTATCTTGCATGTCTAAGTGTTTGTGAATTGTCCACCATGGTAGGTAAAGTCTTAGGTGCATCAAGGGAAGGGGGATGTTGGGAGCCCTTCTCAACACCGTCTGGCAGGGAGGAATATTAAAATTCAGACTTGGATTAGAATCCCTGGCTCATGGAGATACTAAAATGCAGACTTGCTGCTATTCTGATTTATTAGCATTTTAAACGGTCTCTAGACCACACCTGCCTTTGCTGGGTGCACCCAGGGCAGGAGGCATCCAGGCGCCCACCACTGCTGCACCTTGTGTAATTGGCACACTGCTGTCAAATGTGAGCGCTTAAGCTCAGATTCTGCAGTTAGATTCCGTCTTTGCATCTTATTTGCTGTGTTACTCTGAGCATATTTTAATTCTCTCTGTGCCTTCAACTCCTTATCTATAAATGAGAATTGTAACAGTGCATACATCGCAGAGTTATTGTCAGCATTACATGAGTCATGCGTGCCAAGTGCTTCTCACGCTCCCGTGGCACCTGGATGTAGCTGTTTTTATGACTGCCTGTGCCCTCCTCTCCAGCCCCACCCCACTGCCAGAAGCCCTGCCCTTCTCTCCCCTGCGCCCCCTTCCTCCAGACCCACTCCTCAGTTAGGCGAGAAGGTGCCTGTGAACGTTTGATGAGCTGTTCAACACCACAGCGCGGTACAAACACAATTCGGATTTAGTTTATTCAACTTCAAAGCCTGGACTTCTTTGTTCTGCCTCTCTCATCTCTGACGTATGCCAAAGAATCCTAGTTGGCCCGGTTTTAATCCTAGACAGGCCCCCAAATGCTCTTTTTTTTTTTTTTTGAGCAGGAGGGAGAGAGGGAGGAAGAAAGAGAAACATCGATGTGAGAGAGACACATGGAGTGGTTGCCACCCACACGACCCCAACCAGGGCTGGGGACAAACTGCAACCGAGGTACGTGCCCTTTGCAGGAACCGAACCCAGGTCTCTCTGGTCTGCGAGGCGACACTCTAACTGCTGAGCCAAACTGGCCAGGGCAAATGCTCATTTTTCTTTGAGATCTGGTAGGAGCTCTCTGGGTCTGCTGCCACCAATTGCTACAAACAACAGACATTTATTCTTTCACAATCCTGGAGACCAGACGTCTGAAACTCGGGTGTCAGCTGGGCCACCCTCCCTCTGGAGGCTCCAGGGGAGAATTTGTGCCTTGTCTCTTCCAGCTTCTGGTGGCTGTCAACAATACATGACATGCGGCCACGTCACTCCAATCTCTGCTTCTGTGGCCACATGGCCTCCTCCTCCTCTGAGTGTCTCCTTCGTGTCTGTGTGACATCTCCCTCTGCCTTTCTCTTACAAGGACACTGTGATGGCATTTCGGGGCTACCTGGATAACCCAGAGTAATCTCATCTCAAAAAGGTTAAGAGTGTTTGCAAAGACCCTTTTCCCAAACAAAGCAACACTGACTTTTTTGCATGGCCACTTTCACCCTACTCTATGTCCCCAACGGCATCATTCTCATAGGTTGCAGTTTAGATAGCATGTAACACAGGTGAGTGACTTACAGGTTCAATCAGAACTGAACGAGTTCCTTAAGTAACCCTTAAAACAATTAAATCCCGTTATTTAAGTGAAAGACACTCTAGTTTCTTTTTATCATGTGTGTCTTCCTCTCAGAATCACACAAAGATGTGCATTGCTGAAAAGAAACATCATCTACCGGCTAAAAAAGGAAATAATGTCTTAATGACACCAACCACAGGCTACAGCAGGAAGCAATCCCTCAGGGGATGTCTGTACAACCTTCCTGCAACACAGTGTCTTCATTATTTGATAGCAACCTAGAGAATAGGGCGCCCGTGGGAACAAGCCTCATGTTCGCACCATGATTCCCAGTGAAGGAACCCCAGGGAGAATAACAGTGGCAAGGACAGTCACTATTTACGAAACAATTTCTACACACTGGATACTGTGCTAGTGCTTTAAATAAATTGTCTTATTGGACTTTCACGGCCGAATTGTTCATGGTAGATATCATCACCTCCTTTGCTTGGGTCACCTGTTAAGAAAGTGGCAGAGCCTAGGTTTAAAGCTTAGTCAATGTGATTGTAAAATGCCCACATGCCTGAGCACTTCACACTCCGGCCTCTCCCTGTACAGCGTGGAGAAGAATAACGACATTCGGGGGGTCACCTAATCCACTTCCCATACAGTCAGAAATCCTTCTGGAGTAGCCCAACAGTTGGCTACAAGAGTGATGATGATGTTAATAACTATGATTCTTTTTTTTTAAATCCTCACCTGAGGATATTTTTCTATTTTATCTTCAGATAGAGTGGGAGGGAGGGAGAGAGAGAGGGAGAGTAAGAAACATTGACGTGAGAGGGACACATCGACTGGTTGCCTCCCACACAACCCCAACTGGGGCCGGGGATGAACCGCAACCGAGGTACATGCCCTTGACCGGAATTGAACCCACGACTCTTTGGTCCAAGGACCGATGCTCTAACCCTGAGCCACACTGGCCAGGGTGATAACTATGACTGCACGCCAGTAGCCAGGCCAGGTGCTCATTTCCTTACGTGTATTATCACCAATCTTCTCAATGCTCTGAACTATCTCCCATTTTATAGATGAGAAAACAGGGTCAGAGACATTAAGTAATTTATACAGTGACACATGTATAGTAAATGGTAGAGCTGGAATTCCAACCCAGTTTAAAGTGGGATTCATAATAAGTACCTAACCTCCCAGACTTGTGGGCATTAGATGAGATAAAGAATGTGACGTGTTTGGCCAATTATAAGCACTCGATACATGGCAGGTACCAGCGCCATTATCACCATGATGGTAGCTCTAGGTCTCAAAACTCTGATGAAGTTTTGAAAGAGTAAAGAGAATTGGCTCTGTGTTGGTATGTTTACTCACTGCATTGAGGGGCAGGATGTGGGTAAAATGAAAATATCCTCCGGTTTCCAAATCGATCACCAACGATAATGTCTTCCACAGCATTTACTAATCTCTTACTGCTGTTGTAACTGAAAGGCAGGAAGGCAAACGGACAGGTGTGATCTTGGTCTCTTTTTGCTGCCTCTGCCTCTCTGCTAATGAGCAGCTGCGAAGGCAGAAGTGGGCAGGGGGCGAGATGCAGGGAAGCTGCGGGCTTCCCACCCACACGCAGAGTCCTTGGAACAGACTGCATCCATGCAGACTGCGCTATGGGAACCACTGCTGTTTACTGAGCACCATTACATGCCCCGCCCGGGGCTGGGCGCTTCCTCCTACGTTCTCTCAGTTCTCACGAAACCCTTTTAAGGTAAAGTGTCAATACATCCATTTTACATATTCGAAACCAAGGTAAGTGACTTGCTCAGGGTCAGTTGGTAAGTGGACCTGGGATCTGAACCCAAGTTGGTCTAATTCTTATGCCCAGGCTCTTTCAAATGTAGGACATAGTGGAAGAATCTTAGTGATTGTTATTAGTGAGGCCAACGAGGTCCACCACCTCATTCTACAGATTTGGAGACTGAGGCACAGAGGACCAATCACTGATGCCTCACACAACAAGGAAGACATCCACTCAGGTCAAGAACCCATGTCTCTTGATGCTCAGATCATTGCCTTCCTACTTACTAACATTCTTGAAGGAGTGGCCGGAGGATCTAATCCAAGGTCAGAGGCAGCAAAAAATACAGGGCGACACACTGCCTTGCTGAACATTTGTATGGGGCTCTCTGTACAGCATGTTTTGTATTGTTACTAGATTCCTCTAAGCTTCTTGAAGGCAGAGATGGGAACTAAAGATCTCTGGTTATTCTAATGTTCAGCTTTCTCTTTCTACAGTATCATAAAACCATAGAGCTCCAAGATTGGTGTTCATCCTTATTCTTTCTGTCCTTCTTTCAACCAATATTCATTCCTCTGAAGTCAAAGCTGTACCCAGGGCCTCAGATAATGTCTTAGAGCTATCTTCGTCCATCTCTTGGATGGGCTGTCTCTACACAGTAGGCAAGATGACCACTTGATGCCCACAGTTCCCAGCAACTTCATTAAAAAGAAATGGTCTTTTCCAATAGTTCTGAAAGAAAATCCTCAGAGAGGACTCTGACTGCTCCAAGGTTGAGCCATGAACCACTCCCTGAGCCGATCATTGTGACTTGGAAATATGGAGCCCTGGTAGCCCAGCCTGGTTCATAACCAGCCATCCCCTGAAGGGATGCGCTCATCCCCGCTGAACCATATGAGATACGTCTCAAGGAAAGAGCAGATGTCATGACCAGAAGAAATGCTGTAGAGGAAAAACACAGATGTCTTCTGACAGGGCCTCCTGTCTACCTGACTATAGATTACATGTCAAGTGTACGAAGCCAAATAAGACCTGGCCCTTCCTTTCCTGCTACTACTCCACATGCAGTTTCCCCCTAAACTAGTGAGAAAGGTAAACAAGCAAGCAGACAATCAATCATAACTCTATGACAAGAGGTAGGAAGAGAGGAATGCACAGGGAACTGTAGAATATGTTAGTTAGGAAAGGCTCTCAGAAGAGCTAAACCATAAATCTTGAAAGATGAATAGGAAATACTGGTTGAAGAAGAGGTGGGAGGAGGTCCTTCCTAGCAAGTCGGAAGACCCCAGAAATATGTTGTTCAAGCCTTTCATTTGGGTTTGGAGGCCTCATTCAATATCCCAGCTGGTGATGCTGCCACCTCTGGTTGAACATCTCTTCAAAAGACAGCCTCTCAGCTTCTCAATCATTGTTCCTTACGCTGAGCTGAGACCTGCCTGCACAACTCTTGGTTGATTGATAGATAATGAATGTGTCTGGTTCAAAATCTGATTTAGTACCGACGCCGGAGCCTGCTGCAGCCAGACAAGTTTGGGGGAACCGTCTGCAGTGGTGACGTCTGGGATGAAATCAGCTGTCACGCACCCACAACTTGTGTAAGGCAAGCTCAGTGTGGACAGGATTTCCAGTGTAAAGAGACAGGTGAGGAACATTCTAGCAGGGTAACAGATGTGCTCGTCAAACTGAACACGCAAAACACTTTCCTGGCGAGCTTGCTGAAAAGTGGACTCCTGAGCTTTCCCCTAGAAATCGTTCTGTAGGGTTAAGATGGGGCCCTGGAATCTGAATTTTAAGCCAAGGCAACAGACCAAGTGACTCCAATGCAAGTTTGGAGGAAAATCTGTTAATTCATTTAGAAGATATGTGATTCACTCCATCATCCTCTCATTCAATAAATATCGTGCACACATTACGTGCCAGGCAGTATGCTACCTGATGGTGATATGGAGATGAATAAAGTAATGTGCCTGCCCTCATGGTTCTCCGAGTCCCTCTGGGAGAGAGCCCTACAAGGAGTCGATGGCAGTATTGTGTGACAGCAGGGAAATGGACATCAGCACGCTGGCCAGTGGGCCTCTCTAGCTGGGGTACCTACATCTGCTTTGGGAAGTCACGGCAGTCTTCAAATGACACTTGAACTGAGACTTAGAAAATAGAAAAGAGTTTCTAGGAAAAAGAAATGTGCAGAAACATGAAGATGTAAAGACCTGCTGCTATCTGCAGTGACAGGTCAGGCCTTTGGGAGCAGAGGCAGGGGATGGGCCAGGTAGGTAACTGGGGGCCAGCCTGTAGCAATTGGAAGAGAAGCGGGGAGCCACTGGAGGATACAGGTCAGGCGGATGACAGGGCCAGACTGGCATTTTAGAAAGATCTCTGGGGCTGGAATGTGGAGGTTAGATTTTCGAGGGGAGCCCGGGGCAGGGCCTGAGCTGGGGGCTGCAGGTGGGAGACGGTGAGGCTGCAGGGGGCAGAGGCAGGGAGGACAAAAGAGGACGAGTCGGATGGAGGGGCTGAGGGGCGGTTCAGAGGCCCTGGTGACTGTGGGTGGGTCATGGGGGAGAGGGAGCCGTCCGGGGGGTCTGGAAGCAGCCACGGACTCTGTTCTCTCAGGTCGCTGCCTGAAACGCCACCTCGTGTGTAATGGAGACCAGGACTGCTCTGACAACTCTGATGAGGAGGCCTGTGACGACGCCAGGGTCCCTGAGAACGACTGCAGGCTGTACGACCCGATTCCGGGATCAGAGAGGGCAGCCCATGGGTGAGTCACTGGCTTCTGGCCATTCGGGGCAGAGGAGGGTCTCTTTGGAGGAGGCCCTTCCTGTGAGGGCGCTGACCCGTGTCCGAGGCGGAGTCCGTCTGATCGGGCACACCGGAATCCTGCAGCCGAGGGGCTCATAAACGCCAGACTGGCATTGCTCACAGTGCCGGAGGAGGGAGTTGGAGCTCAGAGTGTCACAGGTCAGGCGACGCCCTCTTCCGGCCTTGTCGTGTTCTCATGCCGGAAGGGGCCAGGGAACTCTGTGGGGTCACCTTTATGAGGGCACTGATGCCATTCATGAGGGCCCCAAGCTTACGATCTCAGCACCTCCTGAAGGCCCCTCCTCACACCATCACACAGGGAAAGGGCGTTAACCAACGAAACCCAGGGGGACCCAGCATTCAGTCTAGAACAGGGGGCTGCCCAGTCCTGCCTACGTGGCACACTGTTTTCCCCTCTGTGTGTCTACCTGAGAGTCCTCCTCCCGTCTCGCCCTCCCCCCTCCTGCTCACTCCTCTCACCCAGTTCCATGGCCGAGGCCCCTCTAGCAGCCACATCTCAGAGTGCTTCCCGCACGGCTCAGGAGGACAGCGCTTCTCTGACCCGTGCGCTCCCAGTGGCCCTGTTCACATTCTGCTTGGGACTGTCCTTGCTGGTACAACCAGGGCTAACGGATGACGCAGCGCAGAGAAGGCAGATGGGGTGCCCCGGAGAGGGCCTTGACCCTACCAGTGCTTACTCACACCTCCAGGCCAGCGTCCTTACCTGCTGAGAGTCCGTCAACCTCGATTCTGTCTGTGTCACACGCCTTCTGCCCAGGTTCAGTCCCTGAGTGCACCACAGTCCGCTGTTCTGAGACGTAATACGTTTCATTCCTTCCTTTTGAAACGCCCTTCCCCGTGTTGCTAACCCACTCAACTTCTTACCTAGTGTTAGAAATTGAGTCTTGTCCCCTGAAAGTCACAGGAGGAAGCCCTCACCTCTGTGTGACGGTTTTTGGAGATGCTGCCTTTAGGAGAGGTCATTAAGGCTGCGTGAGGTCATAGGGTGGGGCCACAATCCAACAGGACTCCTGTCCTCATAAGAAGAGGAAGAGACCCCAGAGCTCTCTGTCGTAAGTGTTAGAGAAGACGCCGTGTGAGAACACAGTGAGGAGGGGACCGTCTGCAGCCAGGAAGGGGTCTCTCCAAAAACCAGTCCTGACAGTACTTTGGTCTTGGACGTCCCACCTCTTGAACTGTGAGAAAACAAATGTCTATTCTCGGAGTCCCCCATTCTGCGGTATTTTATGGTAGCCTAAGCGAAGACACGTAGACACCACCTTCTCCACGTACTCTTCTTGACACGACCGCCCCCCCTTTCCGACCCTGCCGAGGCTGGCTTAGTCCCCTCTCGCTGCTCCCAGAGTGCTTTGTGTGTCCTACCCTCCCAGCACTCAGCCAAGCGGGCTGGGCCATCTGTCACAATGTCCTCCTGCCGCTGATGAGAACTCATCTCTGCTTCTGCACCCAGCACAGAGCCAGTGGCGCTCCGGACTGTCAGCTCCCTGGCACTTGGTCTTTGTCTGGGATCTTGTCCCTGAACTTGAATGCAAACTCTTTGAAGGCAGAGACACTGCTTCTGACTCCTTCTTGTTACCCCCTGAGCCCCTCTGTCAGCGCTTTGCCCTAACAGCCTCTCACTGAGGGTTGGCTGAGCGGGAACAGATCAGTATGATGCGCTGGATCTGTACAGGCGGGGGAACGGGGAGCTATCATAATTGTCACAAGGTGACCCGGCCACGTGGCAGCCCACCCGGGTCGGGGAGGGTGCTGTGGAGTGCAGCCCTCCTTCACTGTGGCCTAATGGCCCGACTAGCACAGCCCACCCACCACACAGGACGGCCTCCTGTAAGTGCGTGTAGGGACACACTTACAGCGAATAGTACTGGTTCGCTCAGGCTGCCACAGCCAGGGTCCGCACACTGGGTGGGTTAGGCAGCAGAAATGTATTTCCTCACAGTTCTGGAGGCTGGAAGTCTGAGATCAGGTGTCGCAGGGCTGTTTCCTCCGAGGCCCTCTCCTGGCTGGTAGAGGGCCACCTCCTCTGTCTTCACATCTTCCCTCTGTGTGGGTCTGGGCCCACCTTCCCTCGTTTAATTGGATTCCAGCCCTCCTTAATTACCTCTGTGAAGACGCAACCACCACATGCAGTCAAATTCTGAGACTTTGGGGGTCAGGATTTCAACACATGAGTGTTAAGGGGAAATGCAATTCAGCCCCTTAGACCTATTAAAGGGGACTATTGTAGATTTTGAAAGTGACTGTGGGGTGAACAGAGTACAAGCATAAAATATTGAGGTTTGGCTTGAAAAATAATTACCTTCTAGTTGGTAAAAAGATCACAGACGGCAGCCTGCTCTCTGGTGATGCTGCGTGGACATGCTCTGCCCAGCTGACGGCTCCTCCACTCCCCCCAGCTGACCTTCCGAGGCTTTTTCTGTTCCAGATCTTAGAGGCCTTTCCTGACGATCTTTTTTCCCTAGTTTTTGATTTGTAATTATTGTTACAGAAGTCACACCTGTTTGACTTCTGTAGCACTGAGTCTTCCCTCACCCTTCCTGACCTGCACCCGCCCCATCACCCTCTCTCACCGCCCAGCCTAGGGCTGAGCCCCTTCGACAGGTTGACAGGTTGGTGTAGGTCCTTCCCGATCAGGGAAATTGCATTGTCGATATACACCACTCAGAAAATACGCCTACGGTATGGATTGTGCGTTACAGACAGGAGTATAGTTTACGTAAACAGGATCATCCTATAGATAGTCTGTAACCTGCCTTTCTCACTTTATAATACATTTTGAAGATTTCCTCCATATTTTTTATTGTCTCTTTCTAAGCAGCATATAATGTTTTATCACAGCAAACTATGGCCTGCAGGCCAGATTCAGCCTGCTGTCTGTTTTTGTAAATGAAGTCTCATTGGAACACAGTTTTTGCACTAAAATGGTAGAGTTGAGTAGTTGCGACAGAGATCTGTACCCTGCAAGGCCTAAAATACGTGTTATCTGGCCCTTTGGGGAAAAAGAAAGAGAAAGTTTATCAACTCTTCTGTGGTATAATAACTTATTTAACTACTTCCTGTTGAAAGATAATTAGATTGTTTCCCGTGTTTTCAATAATAAACAAACACTGCAATGAACATCCTTTTACACATATTTTTATACATGAGTGAATAGTTCTGCACACAGAGTTCCAAGAAGTAGGCCTAGAGGTTACAGTACACACCTAGGGCTTATCATCCCTTTGAGTGTGTGTGCGGCCCGTTAGATAGCTTGTATGTATAAGCTACCAGCAGACACACATTCGCCAGGGGAAAGGTAGAACGTGCAGGGTGGAGGAAAGGAAAAGAACCCAGATTCGTGTCCAAAAAAGTTCTAGAAAAAAAATCTAGCTGCAATGACAGGCAAGTTATTTAATTTCTCTGAGCTTCAATTTCTGCATTTGCAACACTGTCATGAGGTTGAAAGCTAATGTATGCTAAACGTCTGGAAGAGTGTGTCTTTAATTCATCAGAGCCATGATTACATCACTTCCACCAACATGAAGAAAGAGGTTAAGGAAGGAAGAGAGGAGGAAAGGTACCTTGCCCTGAATGTCTGCTACACGCCAGGTCCCTGTAACTGCCCAGCGATTCCTTTGAAGCGGGTTTTATTCAGTGCTCACCCTGCTGCCTATTGGATCACAGAGCAGGGGCGGTGTCTGTCCAAGGTAATCAAAGAGGGCCACACAGAGGAGCCAGTGCTTGAGTTGGGTCTGAAAGGCTGAATAGGAGTTTGAGAGGCAGAAAGAGGCCATGCTTATATCATCTATAACATAAACGGCTTCGACTGTCAGGTCTGGGAACTGTTGGCCAACTCGAAATTTTTGCTCAGTTAACTTTCTCTTCTTAGAAAATTAAAGCTGTAGTCCACCTGTTTAACATGATTGTTGCCTGAATATGCTTAAACCACCCATGACCTAAAATATAGGACTTTGAGCAGGTAGATTTGAAATACCCCAGAGGGAAGCCTGGGAAAATATTTCTGGAAAGGCACTGGGCTAGGGGAAGGACGTGTGATTGCTCATTGCCTAATGTGCACTATCAACTTGACTTTTGTTTTGTTTTAACACTTTCATTTAGATTTCACAAAAACCAGGAGAGGTAGTTTTATTTATGTTTGTTCATCAAATGAAGAAAATGACCTTCAGGAAGATTCTAGAACCTGTCCAAAGTCATGCACCTACTTAATGACAGAGTTGGAAATTAGACAGGAGTTTCCCTGAGTCTCCAGCTGTGCACCCTCGGACATTCCATGCCACCTTGAAGGCCACCGCCTCCTTGAGGATTAGATTCTCAGCTTAGCACTATGATTCACACCCAATATTGCAAACTTACATTTTTTAAAAAATCAGCAAGGCTCTTTTCTGAAATAATACTAGCAGCAGCATTTATTTAGTACTTTAAAAATTTGTTTTTTCCTTTATTGATTTTGGAGAGGGAGGGAGAGATAGAAACATCGATGAGAGAGAACATCGATTGGCCACCTCCCGCATGCCCTCCACAGGGGATTTGGCTCATAACCTGGCTGGGAATGGCACCGGTGACCTCTTGGTGCATGGGTCAGTGTTCAAGCACTGAGCCACACCGGCTGGGCTATTTAGTACATATATATATATATATATATATATATATATGCTAATAACTATTATGATTCCTTTATGTGTTTTAGCTAATATTTAGCCCTATGAGGACAGTAGTATTAACTGCTTCTCACAAATGGCTAAGCTGAGACACAGAGAGGTTAAATGATTTGCCCAAGGTCACACAGTTAGATGTGGCAGAGATGGGAAATGGGCCCAGACTGCCTGGGTCCTGTGCTTGGATTCTTGATAATGGCATATATTCTTCTTTAACTTATTCAACAAGCATTTAGGGGCATCTCCCACGTGGGAGACTGTGCCAGATGCCGAATGCAGCTGCCTGGTGCTCTGGTTAAAGAGAACCTCAAGGCCCAGGCCCAGCTCCCTCTGTCTCCCATTGTTACCCAAAGTGACCTTCAAGGTGCTTTGAGGGCTCCATGGAACACAGTTTGAGAAAGTGTGTTCACAACATCTTCCAGAGGATGCTCCACGCAATCTGCCTGCCCTTTCAATTAGGTACAACATCCTGACCCAGACAGAAGCTCAGAGCGTGTACGACGCCAGGTACTACGGGGGCCAGTGCGAGACGGTCTACAATGGGGAATGGAGGGAGCTCCAGTACGACCCCACCTGTGAGCGGCTGTACTATGGTGACGACGAGAAGTACTTTCGGAAACCCTACAACTTCCTAGTGTACCGCTTCGAAGTAAGTCTCAACGGGGCGCCAAGGACAGGCTTGTTGTGGAGGTGGGTGGATGCCTTCCTTGGAAGATGTTGTTACTTGCAGAGCTTGTAGGTGGCTGACGTTCTTTACACCTGCCCCTCCATGCTCAGTGCTGAAGGGCGCCGGGAGCCAAGGGCTGGGCTAGGGAGAGGCGGACGGGGACTGTGACCACCCACCTGCCAGATCTCAGCTCCATTTCAAAATCAGTAACACAGACTTGGGCCCTGTTCTCTGGGTTGCTAGTCAGAAGACCTATTTCCAGCGGTGGACCTGTTAGAATATAGGAAGAGTCAGCCCTCTGCATTAGCAGGCTCCGTCTCTGTGGATTCGACCAAATGTGGATGGAAAATCCTTGAAGGAAATCAATGTTACGTTGTTGCTGACGTATACTATGTAGTTAAGCTGACTATGATGGTGGCATCTGTAGAGACCTTTTTATTTCTGCAGAGCGTTTAAATTGTATTAGGTATTATAAATAATCTAGAGATGATTTAAAGTGTACAGGAGGATATGGGTATGTTATATGCAAATATAACACCATTATGTAAGGGACTTGAGCATCCATGGATTTTGGCATCCACGGGCTTCCTGGAACCAGCCCTCACAGATACTGAGGGAAGAATGCATATAAGACCTCGAGCAGCCGCTGCCTGTCCCTGGGCCCAGTTTCCTAAGTTGTAAAGTGGGGACAGGACAGGAGGTGGCTGGACAGGGGTCTGAGACCTGTGACCCCGCTTTGCCAGGAGCAGTTCCCCACTGGTCACTTTCGTGTCTTGGTTTTCTGCATAGGGTTTTCTTTGAAGAAAGGGTTCTAGTGTTGAAAAGTGCTTGCAAACTGCTGATGATCTAAGATTCCCTCCGTCTCTAAAATCCCTTGGTCTCACGGCCACTTGGAGCACAGAGCTCCCGATCCGTCCCGAGTCTGCTCCTGACCACGCATTTCTTCAGCCTTCACGCCGGGATAAGACGTCCACACGCAGATGTCGCTGGATGCCCACTGTGTGCCAATTCCACTTCACACAAGTTCCCCCCTAATGGCACAATGGGTGGATGTTACCATTGTCTCATATTAGGTGCCCAAACCCCAGAGATGTAGAAGGACAACGTATCAGGCCCAAAGCTGCACTGCGGTAGGTGGCAGAGATAAGGTTCAAACTCAGCTCTATCTGAACTACGCCTGGCTCTATGCCATTTAGAAGGGAGGGTGACTTATACACATTATATCTATATAGTTATACACGTTATCGATACACACATTCTCTCTCTGGAGAGAGCTGGTAGAACCCTCGGACTCTAAACAATTATCAAGTCATATTCCCCGCTCCTCCAAGTTTCTCAGGAACAAACTATTGACAGAGGATAAAGCCAGGCTTATGGGGTCTGTGCTGAAGGAGTTGGCTTCCCCTACACACCTCCACCTGTGCATCAGGCCTCAGATAAGCCAAGCTGGAAGAAAGGAAGGTGCTATCTTCCTAACTTGACATGGTCTAGGGCCAGACAGACGAGGCTGTGTTGTGACGACCAAAGATTCGGAAATCTCAGTGCGTTGAAGCAACAGTGCCCTGGTGAATGACTCGCCCCTCCACAGGTGGAAAGGAAACTCGCATCATCCCACACACTCAGGACCCAGTCTGATGGAGGGTCTCTCTCACCACACGTTCTCGCGATTGCACAGTGAGCCAGCACGTGCTCTCAGCCCTTGCTTCCTTGGCTGGAGCAAGGCACGAGACCAGGCCGCAAGTCAAGCTCGCAGAGAAGTGCAACCCGACGGTGTGCCTGGAATTTCATCACCGGCTTTTGTGGGCAGCGCTCATGCTTACCTCTGCCTAGAAATATCATCATCTGCATCGCTTCCTCGGCCCCTTTCCTCCCTGGTCCACGCCCAGGTGTGGCTTTCTGTATGTCTCCACTGCAGAGCCACGCAGCCTTGTCTACAGGAAGGATAACCCAGCTGAAAAGAAATCCAAGCTCAGAACAACACAGCATTTTACCAGAATCATCGGGGGGTGTGTGTGTTGAAATAAATATTTAAGCAGTACCACTAAAACAGTAACTAAACACTGCTGTATTTTCTCCATCTCAGCATCAATCTCATGCCCGGATTAGCCTTTTAAAAGACGTATTTATAATAACCTGAAACCGGGTGGGCAGTTTACAAAGCAAATGTTTCAGTATTAAGTATGAGCTGGAATATAACTGTAAGTGCACAGGCTAACGTCCATTTGTTTCTTTCAGGCCCTGGCAGACACTAGTTTCTCCTCAGAGGTGTACGATGATACAAATGAAGTCTTTTCTAGTCTAAAAGAAGACCTGTCTGTGGCAGGCGGGCTGAGCGTTGGTGTGAGCCTAGCAAAAGTCCCCGTCTCAGTGGAGGCTGGTGTGTCCGGATCCTCCGCCTCTACGCTCTTTAATTCGTTAAGCAAGTATAACGATAAGGTATTAAAATATAATGTCTGTGCACATTAGTTTGCCATAATCTATACCGAACACACATTACCCTCATTGCTTTAAAAAGTACAGTAGTGCCCTGGGCGATCTGGCTCAGCGGTTAGAGCGTCGGCCCTCGGACCAGAGAGTCCCACGTTCAGTTCCCGTTAAGGGCACGTACCTCGGTTGCATTTCGTCCCGGCCCCGGATGGGGTCGTGTGGGTGGCAACCAGTCGATGTGTCTCTCTCATATCAATGTTTCTCTCTCTCGCTTCTCCTCTCTCTCTCTTCTGCTCTATCTGAAGATAAATGCAAAAATGTCCTCGGGTGAGGATAAAAAAAAAAAAAAGTACAGTAATGCCCTGGTCGGTTTGGCTCAGTGGTTAGAGCATCAGCCCCTGGACTGAGGTCATGGGTTCGATTCCCGGTGAGGGGCACATACCTGGGTTGTAGGTTCAATCCTCAGCCCCAGTCAGGGTTGTGGCAACCAATTGATGTGTCTCTTTTACATGGATGTTTCTTTCTCTTTCTCCTTTCCACTCTATCTAAAAATCAATGGAAAAATATCCTCGGGCGAGGATGAACTAAAAAAAAAAGTACAGTAGTAATTGAACCTTCATTTGATTGTATAATTAGAAACGTCTAATCAGTGGTAATCACGTTTGTTTTTCTTACTGCGCTTTTGCACAAAGAGAATAAAATCAAATAACAAGACTAAGACCCCTATCACTTCATCCCATCCCTTTTCATGGTTACCTAGAGCATACAGGGAAATACTTAGAATGGTCATAAGAGACACAACCAGGCCCTCTGAACTAGACTTGGAAGAATTCTAAGGCAAGCTTGACTTTTCTGAACAGATTGGAGAGCTAACATGCTGAATCAGTTTTCATTTATTCATCGAACATTCAGTACTGTCTGTTGTCCTGCTGGGTCAGGTAATGCTTCCTTGAGGAAAGAACATCTTCCTAAACTGAGATCTAAAGATCAGTTCAAGTTCTCCAGATGAAGGGAGGCGGAAGTTAATCAACAGAAGGGTGTTTAAGCTTGGGAGACAGCAGGTACAAAGGCCTGGAGATGAGAGAATGCCCCCCAAATTTGGGGTTGAAAGTACTTCAGCTGGCTGAAGCACAGGGTAGGATGGACAACCACGGAATGATGAACTTGGAGAGGTAATGAGGAGCCAGAGAAATAGTTATTGACTAGGTTAGAAATTTACCAGGATGCCTCAATAACATTGACTCAGGAACTGCAGATTTAGTTGGGGCTCAAAAACATATTTCAAATGATAAAAATTAACTTACTCATCAAATATTAATTATATTCTGGAGCTTTGCCACAAATGAGCTATTGATCTGAAGGGCACTATTGTTCTGTTATCTGGTTATCACATATTAATGTGGATTTTGCTAAAAGCAGGTGACCTTGACAAACTTTCAGTATCACTTTGGATCAAGGTTTACATTTCCTGGAAGTAAAGCCCATACATGACCCTCTTCCTCGTAAATCTATTCAACATTACTCTGGTCCTGGCTTGATGATGATGATGATGATGGTATCAGGGTGCTGGTATTCTTTATTACTGAAGAGCACATGATTGCCACGAACCGAAATGTAAGCGACACGAGGGCAGGGGCCTCTCCCAGTCAAGATCACATCCACTGCACCTGGCACAGTGCAAGCACTTTTACACATTGGTTCAATAAATGAAATGCATAAATAATCCTGGCATGTCACCCAGTCACTGAAAATATTTCTCAGTGTAATTTTTACCGGATGCCGAGTACTTGTGCAGGAGCTTGCGTACGCAGCGCTTCAAGTAGAGCAGGGGAAGGTGGAGGTGAGAACGGACTGGGGCAGAGCAGAGGTGAGGAGCACAGGGAAGGACACTGCCAGTAACCCCGCTGAGCCGTGATGTGACCCAGACAGGGGCAGTGGGAACAGAGGGGGCAGCATGGGAGAGGAAGCCAAGACCACACTGGTGTGTAACATGTGCTTGTAAAATATACTAATTCTCCATTATATGCATTTATCCTAATATAGTTGTGTGTGTGTGTGTGTGTACATATATACATATTTACTAGGTTAGAAATTTACCAAATTTCTATAATGGAAGGTATCATTAGTATTATATATGTATTTCCCACAGCTAGTAAATACTGACCCTTTGCATTAGCTCAGAGGGTAAAATGTATACTCTGCTCTGTTCCTCACCCCATGGCGGTTGTTGTCGGCAGAAATACAGCTTCATGAGAATTCACACAAAGGTGCAGACCGCCCACTTTAAGATGAGGAGGGACAATATCATGCTGGATGAAGAAATGCTGCAGTCACTCAAGGAGCTTCCCGAGCAGTACAGTTACGGCCCATACTCCAAGTTCATCGATGACTACGGCACCCACTACATCACATCTGGATCGATGGGTGGCATTTATGAGTATTTCCTGGTGCTTGACAAAGAACAGATGGTAAAAAAGGGTAAGTAGAAGGTTTCTGCATACAGTGGTCGGTGCCTACGCCGGAACGTGGTTGGCAGTTTTCTGAGCACTGAGTCTCATTTAGTCCTCATGACAACCCTACAGGGTATCATTGGTATTATTTACAGGGCAGTGATGTCCAAAGGGTGAAATGGACTTGCTAATTAAGCACTAAAGACATGATTTTAACACATATTTGTCTGGCTCCTTAAAACGATGCGTCTTCTGTTTCACCCCTGTTACCTCTGTAGTAATAATCTGGGATTTTGTTATTCAAAACAGTAAGACTTATTTCATATGTAGATTCTTGGTTAATGGAAGTGCCATTCCAGGCCGTCATTGATGCCAGAACACTGGAGTCATCCCAGATTCCTCCTTCTCCTTCACCCCTGTGGATTCTGAGGTCCATCACTTTCTCTGCCCCGAGCCGCTCTCATCCACCTGTTCCCCGCGTCCACTCTCAGCGGTCACTCCTCACTGCGTCAGCTCCACGTGGTGTCCAGGGGGAGGCTCACCCCTTCCGGCCGTTCTCAACCACTGCCACCAGAAGCATCTTCCTACTTCACAGATCTGATGAGATCCCTTTCTCGCCTAATATCCTGAATGGCTAAGAATAAACTCTAAACTTCTTAGCGGGACATCAACATGGTCTCACTCCAGACTGCTAGAATAGCACTCCTCAACGTGTGGACGCCAACCGGCAGCACCCACGTTACCAGGCCACCTGCTAGAAATGCAAATTCTCAGGCTCCCATCCCAAACCTCCTCACTTAGAAACTGGGAGTGGGCCCAGCAGTCTGTGTTCTGACCAGCCCTCCAGGTGGTTCTGATGCTCACTAGTTTGAGAAACACCAACCTAATCAATGAATGAGTAGGAGGGTGAGAGATCTATCCATATTTCAAAACCAAGGTCAAACTCCCAGTTTTAAGACGTTTCTCTGACTGCACCAGCCCAGGCTGGCCCCTTCTTTTCTCCAACACATTCATACAAATTCTGCACTGTTTAGTCTTTAAAAAATAATTTTCCAAGTGTTGATATTTTTTACCTCATGTAGATCGCAAGATCTTTAAAAGCAAGCATCATGTCTAATGTTTTTCTTTCTCTTTAGCACTTGACACAGGGCTTAGCATGTAGTGAGTGTGAAAAAAAAAAGACATGGAGTTTGCAAGGGGCATTCCTTTAGATTGCTGCCATCCATTCATTCTTTCATAATTCATATATCTGTTGAGTATCTATTATGTGTTTGTGCTAGGGATACAATGGTGAGCAAATCTAAATATGCTTCCTACCTTCTTGTAGCACAGTAGTCTTCAAGCTACAGGGTGCAACTCGGTAGTATGTCTTGGCATCAATGTATGGATCAGAAACGACATTCTGAAAAACAAAGGATAGAATAGAAAACATCATAGCGGATTGTAGGCAGGAAAGGTAAGTTATTGTCTCAAGAAACTTTTTCCAGGTAAACATGGTCATGTATACATGCACAGAGTCATAATAGAATCTAAATGATAGAGTATGGATCAATGTCAAAAGAGAGTTTGCAAAACTTAATTCAAGTGGGTCTTTTTAGAACCATTCCAAAACATGAGGGAGAAGAAAGAGCTAACATTTGTTGAGTACCTACTAGGTTCTAGGTGCTTTTTGCTTATATTCTCATTTAATTTTCTTGACAACCCACAGAGTTTGGTATTGTGACAGTTTTAGCCCCAGAAATGCGGAGGCTCCTCAGGGAGGCTAATTACCGTGCCCACGGCTGCAGGGAGCTGGCAGCAAGCGCCCTGGTCCCAGGGTCTTTCCACCGTGTGGTCACGGGAAAGCCTTTAATTTGGGCTCCTGTCTTTGGTGTTGGATTACTAATTAATCGCCTGGGGTATCTCATGGCCCCTCCTCTTTAAAATCTGTGAGGGAAAAAATGGGCTTTTGATGTGGTTAATATTCAAAAAGAGCCCACCAACAAATTGTCCCAAGGATAATTTCCTCATCTCTGTTTATAGAAAACCATATGTCGATAATAGCACAATTGGCTATTTACGAAGAGCTGATTTTCTATAAATCTGGAAAGTTAGTGTTGCTTTTCTATAAATATGGAAATGTGCTAATCATCACCTCATCTGCTGGAGCCTGCTAATAAATCAGAATGTCATTTACATATTAACCTACAAAGAGCAAAACATCTACCTTCTTTCCCTTTGACAAATGGAATCACGCACACTCTCTCTCCATGTTCCACATCTGTCTGGTTTCTCTTTGTCTCTTTCTCCTCTCCTCTCTCTCTCACTCCCTTTCTTTCTCGGTGCCTTGCTCTCTCTTTCTCAACCTGTTTCTCTGTCTCTTTGTCACTGTCTGTGCCTCTCTGTGCCTCTGTAATCTATATGACTTTAATGATATTTATATTCTAAGTGCTTATTTCTAAGAAACACCCATGTGGTATATACACTCATGGCTACAAAGGGCTGGGCTATGTATGGAAGGATTTAAGTGAACACACTGGTTGCGTTGCTCGGGGGGATGTTTTGTCCTTGGGTTTGCCTCAGATCCTCCCTGTGTTCATCCTAGAGGATGCACAAAGCTGTTTGCACTAATCTGTTCTCTCGATAAAATGCTTCTTTCCCAAAGACAGCATGAAACCATGCATCAAAAGTCAAGTGAAGTCTTGGATGCTGGGGAGGTGATGTTCGACTTCATTGGGATCCTAGACTTTCCTCAAGCTTCCTATCTTCTTCAGGAATTAGGATGGCTTTGGTCTTGAATTTCTGGATTCCAATTTCCCCCCTTTCTTTATCCCCTCTTTGGAGATCTTACTACTCGTCTTTGTATGAAGGCATGACAAAGAGAGTAATGTATTGACTATTATGGTTTCTCTGGAGTCTGGCCAGGCAGAGCTGATAATTTACCTTGGGTAGGTCAAGTACTGCAGTGACATTGCTCTGGTCACACATGTTTCCTGCCTCCCTCTGCCCGTGCTGTGTGTCAGCACCCAGTGCTCCTCCCGGTCTGGCTGACCTGACAGAGTCAGCTCTTGAGCCTGAGCCTGGTACAGGCATCTCCACCTCTGCGAAACCTGCCCTGGCATCCCTCTGCCCCTTCGCCCATAGTTTTGTTTCCTTATGCATTCATTCTTCCAACCATGTTTATTGAATTTGTATTATGTGACAGGTGAACAAAATCAATATGGTCCGTGTCCTTGCAAAACTCATGACCTAGTACAGGAAACTAAATAAATGGCCCAAAATCCAGATGGCATCTTGGTTCCTCCTTCTTGCTCCTCATCAACAATGTCTGTTGCCTTCACTTCTAAAGTATATGGGTCCTCCCACCCCTGTCGCCATCCAGCTAGTCCAAGCCAGTGTTAGCTCTTCCCTGGATTATGCTAGAGCATGATGGCTTCCTCTCCCTCTCTTCCCTCCTGCCCTCCTTCCTCCCACCCTCCTTCCCTCCTCCCTCCCTCCCTCCCTCCATTCTCCCTCCCTCCATTCTCCCTCCCTCCCTCCCTCCCTCTCTCCCTCCATTTTTCCCTCCCTTCCTTATCCCTCCCCCTTCCTCCCTCCTTTCCTCCTTCCCTCCCTCCCTCCATTCTTCCCTCCCTTTCTCCTCCCTCCTCCCCTCCCCCTCCCTCCCTTCTCCCCTTCCTTCCTTCCTTTTTTACCCTCCCTCACTCTTCCCTCCCTCCCTCCTTCTTCCTTCCTTCCCGCCTTTGTTGTTGTCATCATTCCTGTTCCTTCAACATTCTAACGTACCAAACCTACTTTAGCCTACAGTCTGGGTATCTGTTCTCTTCGCTATCTGGGCTCTTCCTTTTCCTCTGACGTTTGAACAGCTGTATTTTCATTACTTAGATATCAACTTCAATGTCATATTTTCAGAGAGGCCTTTCCTGACCATGTGGTCAAGTCCCTCTTTGCTATAGCACCCTATCCTCATTATCAGGAAATCAGTATTGATTCAATAGTTACCACATTCTTGCACTTATGTGTTTACTGTCAGCCCCTCTCTCTGGAATGCATGCTCCGTGAGGGCAGAGACCTCACCTCTGGCCCGTGCTACACGTTCCTCTCCTATGTCAGTGCACATCCTAGTATGGCCTCAATGACCTTTGCAGGGTGAATCAGTATATAAGTGCAAATTGTGATAAGAGCCATGTAGGACATGAACAGGTCATAGAAACAGAGAAGAACTGCAGGGGAGAGGAAGGCAACACTTACATAGCTTAGGAGGATCTGGGAAAGTCTGAGGAGGTAAAATTCAGACTGAGATAAGGTCCAAAGGATAAGAAAGCGATTCCAAAGACAAGAGAGGGGGTGTCCTGGGCGTAGTGGACAGCCGGAACTGAAGGGAGGAGGGTGTGGCTGAAGCCTGTGAGTATGGGGGATATGCCAGGAGCTGAGGTTGGAGGAAGCCGAGACAGGCCTCAGAGGGATTTGCTGGCCACGGGAAGTATGGACCCCACCTTCTGTGTGACGAAAGCCACTGCCGCCATCAGCAGGGCAGAGCTTGGTCCCATGGATGTAGCAGCCAGTCTCTCCACTGCGATGTAGTGCACATATTAGATGGTGAGAGTGGACTCGGGAAGAACTAGAGGCCCCTTGCTGATGAACAGGAATAAGCATGGAGAGGAAAGATCATGATAGATTCGGGATAGATTTTGAAAAGAGAATTTAGATCATTTACAGATGGCTTGGGTGTGAATTGTGAGGTATAAATGACTCCTTTCTCTAAGTTATATCTCTACCATACACACACATACACAAACACACATGTGCATGCATGCACACAGATGCACACACATATTGGGGTGAGAAGAACATGACGAGTTGGCTTGGAGGTGCCAGCTTCCTTGTAGAGATGCCCTGAGGTTTTGGAAGTATGGCAGGTTCTGCAGCCAAGGGAAGGCTCCAGAGGATATATTTTAGAAATTGTATACATTAGACTAATTTTAATTACATGTCTGTCTCTCCTACTAGACCATGAACTTTTACATACAAGTTCTGTGTCTACTCTGG